CTTTCCTAAATATTGCGGTTGTGCCAAGTCTGATCCTCATTGAATGGCTCAAGTTTTCAAGTTTCTTATCATACTGTGCGTTACTGGACAACCGGTTAAGCCTTCCCCCTGTACTGGCGTGGTTATTTTCCAACAATATGTTAAAACTGAGCAGTTATTTCATCTTCTGTTCTTTTTATACAGTGTGCATGATTTCAATATATATATCACTTACTTTAACCTCCTTTTAAATTGACATTATTCCCTTGAAGTAAATAAACAAATAATATCCAATGACTAGTGGGTGTTTTATCATTTGTAATTAATGTACAATAGAAGTAGGCCCTTAAAAACCATGATATATTCCGATGTACTTTTTTGCAGGGTCATTGTTTACAGATATCAACCACACACGCTACTAACGTCTAGCTGAATGTATCACGCTCATGTTTTCATGGATACACCCCTATGGTTACCAGGGACCTAGCAATACCAGCTAGGCATTCCTTGTCTGATCCGGAAACTAATTCGTGTTTTAGAAGTGCGAGGATTAGGCCGAAGTATTCAAAGCCTCGAATCTCCCAAACACTGCAGGTCGGCAAACATCGGAGTTGATACAGTAATCTAGACATCTAAGAGTAAACATGGGTGAGGAGAGGGCAGATACAGCAACAGTGTTATTGGGATTTATTTTTTCTCTCTCTGCACGATGTCAATTCATATCTTGTTATCTTTGTGACGAATTTGTTGGGTGAGGGCCATGTGTCAAATTATGTAACCGTAATATGATTCACCGTGTTGCACCGCCTGTCACCGAAGTTTTAGAAAAAAATTTCACTCCAAAGGTTTACCCAGGTAACATAATTTGATCTGCTGATGCCATGTCTTGGGAATCAACCAGCAGCGCCCTCTTTAACCTTCTTACCACTATCCTCACAAAAATTTTCCCACATGAAACTGCCGCTCTTATTATTTATCAACGAACAAGCAAACAAACAAACAAATAAAAAAAATAAAATTGAGTGCCTGCTCATACTTACAAATTAAGTTTGGACAAATCAACTGTTTTTTTAACGGGGGAATCTAATCAAAAGGAACACAGAGAAACTGGTGCACAGCAGTTCGAAACTGCTGAAGTTGGTGCAGTGGGCATAGGTCTTCGGATTATGTGCCTTTGGGAAATAAAGCACAACTTTTTCAAAATTCTCCGTGAGCGAGAATGGAGATGGACAATTCGAATGGCAGTCTCTGCATGTTTTATGATGCGACAGTGCCCATTTCATGTAGGAAAGGGCGGTGATTTCCTGAGCAGATGTACAGGTCTCGTTCGTGGGTGGGTGGGGGGTCACCCTGTACATCGCCCGCCCCTTAACCCAAACCATGCTGAATCCAACGAGCATATGCATGATTTCAGTGGTTCCTAGGGGGTTAGGGTTAATGGCACAAATTGAAACATTATCTATGTGCATCCGACCCCTGCTCGAGTCCACGTCTCACCGTGTGTATTCCATAATACAACAAGAGTTTTACCGAAAAAACTGACTTAATTTAGCGCATAGTACATGGTACTTAATCTGTGAAGCCATAAACCGGGCCCTTTGCAACCAGCTCGGTCGAAACTCGGTCAGATATCAGCACCTCCAATCGACACAAAAAGCCCAGCGCACGTGCCCCGCGCGCTCCCCCAATTACCCGCTGCAGGAAACAGTCGAACTTCCATCGAGATGTCATCTGCCTTATCTAATTAATTTGTGATATCCCCAGTTCGTGTGCCTTCCTTTTATTCAAGTCGAAAAAACATTGCTGCCGGCTAATAGTTGCTCCTGATGGGGGAAAATGCCATTGAGGTTGACCGATATGCCCAATGTGTCAGGTGTGGGTTTTTGTGTTGCAATTTTAAATCATTTTGCTGACTTCTTATTGCCGAACTAAATCAGTGAATGATAACCTAAGCATACCTGATAGGCTAACATGACCCTTTCTAATATCACAAGTTATTGGCACGAGACCTTGCTAAGCAGAATTTCTGGGCTGAGCGAATATCGGAACGAGAGCCATTTACGAACATTGAGCAGTATACATGTATCTATGTCATGTCTTTAATATTATTGGGGCAGCAAAGGTTACCTTATTTTGTTTTCGCAAAGTATATCCGTTTAAAATGCTTTGCGCATGTTGACAACAGGAACAGCAGAACTTGAATCACCAAATCGTAAATCGAGGATTTCAACCCTACAAGAGTGAAGTGTTATTTAGCAAATGGTTGAAAAAATATACGAATGCCATGCGTAGAGTCATTAAGTTGTGTTTGGTCGTGGGGGGAGTGAACCTGTCAGAAATCACTGGAAATCCAGGGTCAAGTTGAGGGCACGGAAGAAGGAAAGAGGTACGCGTTGATGACATTATTAAATATCTGGTATTTGATGACACATTTTAAAACATTTGTCATGAATGCACCGCTCCATTCTACCAGATCTCTATCATTTTCGTCAAGTCATTTTCAGTGACCATGACCGACATAATGCCCCTTCACAACCCCGGCTTCGTTGCAACCCTATATCCACACGAGCATAATGGCGGGGCTATTTAAAAGGTTGTTGTTGCAATAGTTGGAGCCATTTTCACTCAATAGTGTTCAATACAGGGACCCTGATAGGATCCCAGAGACTTTGGAGTGGTCTCGTTACCGGGTCCCGAGCAACGCTGGGCCCTGGAGAGGCACCGCCGCGCGCTCGTTCCATCGGCCCGGTCTCCAAGCACTCCACACCGGCCCGTGTTTGCGCTCCCTGATGGGGCCAGATAACACCGCGCCCGTCATTCACACTGCTATCGCCCCAGATAAATCAGCCCCATCACATAGGCAAACTAATTGCCATTTATTTTCTAATTTTCCTGTTGACTTAAGAAATTTGGGCGATAGCCTTTGCCCACCCTCTGCGAAGCCTCGGCGCTTAAAAAAAATGTACACAAAAATACAGTTGAGTCACTTGAGTGACGCTTTTTGTGCCGTGTACAAGGACCGTGGCTCGCCAGGCGCGGTACGCCGGAACAGCCGTTACTATGTCCCGTTACAAAACAGGTCTTCTAAAAGGATCGATAGGGCCGGTCTACATCGTTAGGTCAAACTGGCATCAGGGCTATAATGGTTGACTTCGCGACACTACCAACATTTCTCAAATATGACCTCGAGGTGACAATAACTTCTACCTCCTCCCGAGTGCGGGTGCGGAGCAACGTGTATCAACCACGGCAGCGCGCCGTTCCCATCGGCTTTTAATAAGAGACCGCCGACAAGAAAAGGGGGGAGAAAAAAAGAAAACATGAACGCCCTCCCTCAGATCTCGCACCGCCTCCAACAATCGAGGGCTCGCCCTGAATGGAGAGCAAATTTGCCCCAGGATTTATTTTTAAAAAAATATCCTCTTGGGACAAGTGTTGACTCGTCAACTTGGTTGAAGAGTTCACGGGAGACCGTTTAACTCACAAACAAACAGAATAAGCTCCAACACCCCTAAACGTTTCGAAAACAGCCGCGCAATCGTCAAACGATCCTCTGAAATCGGAGTCATCTGGTCAAGCATGTCGCAATCACGAGCCCGACAGAATCCGAACAAGGGGAATCGATTTCAAGTTATGATTAACATCAAGACAGCCAGGTTTCACTCGACATGGAATATGATCTGTTATGGATCGTTAATCCTCAAACTGTTCTTTAGATCACAAAAGTGCGTCTATTTTATGGAGGTATCTTTAGTTTATAGGACTGAAAATTCACCTCTTCTCGTTAACATTTTTATTTTGATGTCTGTGATGATAACAGAAAGGCCCACCAACAAAAATGTACTGCAGACGATTCAAGAATCCCACTGGACCTAACAGAGCTTCAACTGATCAGCTCTCCCGAAATCTACATTGAAGGTCTTCTTCGAGACGCTTTTTGGAAGTATGATATCATGTTCGGTTTTATATTTTCTCAGCATCCAAATCAGTGTGTTGGTACGGAAAGGTTCCTTCAGTGTGGATTTTGTTCCTAATTTTTCGAGAACAAATATAATCTCTACATAAGGTGGAAGTGTTTAAAGGTGCATGTAAAAAATACTTTCATCGAAAGATGGTGTAGACAGTTTTATTCCCCAAATGATTAAGACGTATCAATGACGAACGTCACTTTGAAAGTCTTGTCATGGTCATCAGATCTAAATGACAATGTAGCCAGTTCACAGCACAAGCCATTGGCGGTCATGTTTTTACCCGGCAGGGCAACGATGCCAACCAGTGAAAAACACCATCAACTATGACACTATTATGGAAGCGCTCTTCGTTAAATGGTTACCCCGGATCATAACTAAATTATCAACAAAGGTGGGGGGTGGGGAGTCACACTCCATGGACGGACAAGGGAGGTTGGACCGTGTACGGAAACCGCACACTGGGAACAGTTGTCAGTAGTAACGCGCAGCATCCCTATACACGACATCTACTGCGCTTGCTCAGTCCGTCTCGCTCCACCGCGCCTTTTTTTTTTCGTCGTCACCGGCGGAAAACCATCGCTCTGTAGCCGTGATAAGCGAGAAGCCGGGGGCGGGGAGGGAGGAGCCCGGATAATTGATAGTCCACCAAGCTCATCTCATATTAAATCTTTTTCCCCTTCCTGAAAAAAAAAAATCGAAAGCCTGTACCCAAAACGGAACGCGGCTATGCAGGTGGATTTTTGAGTCGGTGAACTCAAAATACCCCAATGCGCATCATTCTATCTTGCCATATATAGATTTCATTTCAAGTGATATTTGTAGCATGTAGGCATGCAGGAGGGATTTTTGGTCAACAGTTAATAAAAACTGAAGTTGCCGTGCTCGCGAGGAATGATAACGGTGGCCGTGTTGGAGTGAGCGGCTTCCACGGGGGGTCAACTTGCGCCGAAAGGTCAGCAGGGGATATAACGACGCCCGCTACTGACGAAATTGTGAGAGAAAGAAATACTCCACGGACATGCGTATCCATCATAACACCCCAAGCGCTTATCTACTGCAGAATATAAAGTGGCGGCTGGGAGATACTCATTATAACTAAAGGGGGCTTTCGTCGCGGTGATAGATTTTCTTCCAATACTGAGAACGATCTTTTGGATATTCCTGACTGACTGGACGGGCCGCAGGCTTTTTAATTTTTTTTTTTACTGCCGTCCACTTCTCTTCCTTCGGTTCTGCGAGACTGACCGCGCCACAGAGCGGGGTACACCGAGGGCAAAGTGTGCTGGCGGCCCCGGCAATGCTCAGTCAACAGTGCGGCGGGGACGACTACGGTATCCACAGCCAGCCACCGCGCGGCACCCTGCCTGGGCCAACAGCGGGGATGTCCCCGTACGCTCGGCCGACCCGGCAGCACCCACCGCAACAGCATGCCGGACTCCGGTCCACCGGCTCCTCCAAGATCGACCCAAGGTATTCACTATCAGCACGGCCGCGGCTTGGCCAACACTACTCCCTAAGCTTGTCGTTATCCGCACTTTAATGTCAATTGAAACCCATTAGGGGCAGCGCTATGTAAAAGAAAATTTGGGCACAAGTGCAACACGCGACGCATAATATGCAAAACAGTCCTTTGAAAACAGAGCGTGCCGAAAATCCCGAGTTTAGTCGTGACACGTTCTCGATCTAATCACCCTTCTCTGTCACGACACCCCCCTGCCTTCATACCACCAGCATCACACTCCTTATAACAAGAGTTCGTTTCCTTCATTAGCGGCACTTCATAGCCACACGCCGGTTTAAACTAAACGAAAAAGAAAACCGCCCTTGTGTTCTTATTCCTCTGTGCCTCACCTGTAATGTTTGTCGCCTCTCTTTCTCATTTATTTTCCAATGTTGGCGATGTTTCTTGTGCGCTGGGCTAATTTGTTCGTCGGACCATTTCGTGGACGGATCCATTACGCGACGAAAGTAGTTTCAAGTCCAAGCGCTACCGGGACAAGCTGCGAGAGCAGATCAAGGCGTTGGAGAATCTCCTGCCCATCGACAAGGCCACGCTGCACCGCAAACTGGACAGTCAGACGGTCTTCAGACTGGTCATCTCTTACTTCAGAACGAAAGTCTTCTTTCAGGGTAAGCAGTTTTATCCTCATTCTTTCTTCAAAAACAGTCTTTCGAACATCGTTTTACCGGTAAACAGACACATTTTCTTGAGATGACAGCCCCCCCCCCGAATAGAGGTTGATGAATAGGCCTAGGCCTACAAGGTAAAATTAACATATGTTTCACCAGTGCAATTGTAAACTGAATTCTATTTGCAAGTGGACGATAACGAAGGTTAAACACATAGTTATAATTTGGACGGATAGTTCGCATCAATTCAGTCTAACTGAATATAACGACATTCATTTAAAATTGCCAGCCTCAGCAATCTAGGATACATTTAGTTGTCAGGTGTCCGGATACTGTTGATTTATACAAAAGAGAAAGGCAACAGGTAAAGAACATGTGTATCCTCAGAAGCTCAGCTTGAGATGGAAATGTCACAATCTACACGAAAGTTCAGATTAAATTGACTTTGCAAGTTGGGACATCTCTGTTACACGTAGAACAACCCACGGTTAGACGTGCGTGCGCTGTGCACTTGTCAAAAAATTATTTGCTTAAAAATTGTGAGGGTCAATTGCTTTGCAGATATCTCGGCGCTTACTGATTCACCAGATTTCCTGGATTATTATCAAGTTCCGGGGTCGTCCTCTTTGTATTAAACTGGGTCCAAGGGAATGGGTCAGCATTCGCTAAAGGACAAAAAAATCACAGTTACTCTCGGAATCTACTGAAGTTTTTGGTAATCACACTACATGAATACATGAATAGTCCCACAAATGAAATCGGAATAGTCTTGTGTGACCTCCTTGTCAGTTGATCTAAACAACGACAGACAGTCCAAACCGATGCGACGAGATAGTGAGTCATTGTTCTGGAAAAAGTGACACGATGCATGAGTTCAATACCCATGTGTTGAGATGTCAGATATACGTATCCGTTAATACGATTATTTCACACTTCGTCACATTTCTATTACATGTTCAAAAATGTCCAAAGCCTACATTTGGCAACTCGTAGCTATTTAGTCCCTTAAAGTGTAACCAGGAAAGTTATCCAAAACATCTCTGACTGGATCTGAACACCATAGCTGCCCCCTTTTCCAAGGAGGGAAAAACGAACAAAAAAGTACCCATCTTCCGAGAGAGTCCTGTTTGTAAAATACCCCTCCCCCAATCATATATACATTATGCACAATGTACTGTGCGAACACGAACTGAACGCTAAAAGTTGGATTAAACGCAAATGGATGTTCATTAAAACGGCTGATGACAAGAACTGTAGAGGAAAGCTACTGTGCTTACATTAGTTTATTTTTGGTTGATAAAATGTTATCAACATTTTTAAATGCAATGCGATGGAAAATGTGGGCGGCGTTTCCGGTTTAAGCATGTCGGTGAACTCAGTTTACATCGTTAATGGTTCTTTAACATTACTATAATGCCCATAGGGAGTACATCTGTACGATGTAATAGCCACACCAAGATGCAGTTGCCGTACTTGCGACGTGGCATACATGACGCACGTGCAGGGAAGACGATTTGAAAGACTGTGAGAGTGACACTGGTGGACTCATCAGTCACTTTTTCGGGTTTTGAGAGAGGACAAAATCCGGCGAATAATATCTGAGCCCATTTTCTTCGTCTGTCCTTTGATACCAGAGATCACAAGCAATTAAGGTGCCGGCCCGGCTGGGTATCCTTCATGCGTCCGTGCGTTTGGACCGGCCTTGTGCTTACTGGTGTGGAGGCGGATTGAGAGAGGGCCTATTTGCTTGGGCGCATTCTGTAATCCCCCCAAATCTGTTCAGCCATATATGGAAAAATGATCCAGACCTACAAAAGCTTGGGTGTGCGTACACTATCGCCCAACAATTTCAGGACAGCGATAATCAACGCTGGGAAAGGTTTTAGACCAAAGTGGTACAAGGGGTCCGATTGGGGCTTGGCCCTACTGTTGAGCAGCAGATCTTAAAATGTAAGTGACAGCTCTCTTCCAAAAACCTACGGTGACCTAAATTAAACTTAACACTTACGGGTTAAAAGTAGTTCTCTGCCAGTGTATACGATAAGACTTTAATGCTCCTTGTTCTTACAGGCTTTGTGGACGTGCACACTGATGCAATCCGCTGCCTCGTTTTGGGAAACATTCGTCAGACACAGTGAAACAAGTTCCACAAGCACGGATGTGATAATGACGATGTTTTCATTAGTCTGAGAATCCACTCTGTTGCCAATCACGCACGTTCTTAGCATCAAAACAATCTCGGTCGGAAAAGTTGGGGTCGGGTCTGAGCGGCGCCTCCTGTTTGGTTTTTGGAGAACATATCCTTAAACCGGTCAATTGCTTTAAATCGTCTCTGAAAGGGCTCCAAAGTTTCCACGCGCATTACAAAGATGTGAATATGGCAACGTCACTTGTACTGCTCGGTTTGAGAAGAGTGTTTTGTGGTCATTACCTTCTACTTTTACGACAGAGTCAGACAGTCTGTAAATCCTTCCCTTGTGATGTCATTCTTGATTGTATCTGATCCAAGTAATTGGTACCGTGGAAGCTTCTACGTGAGTTTTGTATTGTTTTAGTTAGTCATCAAAGCGCCATACATCCATACTACTAATCTACTTAATTGCATCTGAGAAACAGGCGAAGTTTCTGACGTGACCGCGCGGTCAGTGTGCCCCGACTGTCTCGTGGAGGGGGAAAACGCCTCGTCTAATTTTTTCCCCTCAATCTAGAGTCAATTCATACTTTAATGCGTGAAGCTCAGTTCCCACTGTACGGGCCTGCGTAAGCTTGCAAACCGTCGTTTGAAAAAATTTGAGTTGCAGCTCAACAAGTCGGTTTTTTTCTCAACTAGTCTCTTGTCAATTGCACACGGAACTCTAAGCAAATTCAGCGCAAGATTTTACCCGAATCGGCGCTTGAGGTATAATTTTATACAAGTTACTCATCCGAATAGCGTGACCCAATATCTTAAACTAACTCTTTATATTGTACGTGTCTTGATGTAAATTTGCTTGCGTCGGTCTTAATCAGACATTTCTTAATATGGACCAAATCGTATGGACTGTGCAATTTGAATTCAATTCATGAATTTCCAGCGGCGGCTCTGGTATTGTGTATTCCTCCCTCGCTCGAGTCTGACAGTGATGCAACTGTACTTCCCGCGTCAATCAATCATATTAAATCGATACTTATAGTACCAGTGGGATTCATTAAATGGACCCAAACAGTGCATTGTCGAACTTGAGTTGTCACCGACGGCCTGTGGTGAAAGCACAGACGGGAGGAGAATAGACCTGAACTAGTCCATGCAAACCGATGTGATTTGCAGACTGCCGTGGAATATTAAATTACAACTACAAGACATGATGCATCGCTGCCGTCTCTACGCGCGGTTAATCATTGCCGGGGTCAGCTTGTTTGGAGCCTACCACTTGAGTAATTAAAAGGCAAACAAACAGACATAATTACTACAGCGACTATCGATATAAAGGGGGCCGTAGACTGGTTCGGTCGGGCCGCATGCGAGAGAGTCGGGATAGTGCGCCTGAAATCAGATTGTTACAACGACGGGGAAATGTATTAATCGTTTTGGAAACCTGGCAATGTTTACAATAATGGTGATGATTGAGTAAACAAGTTGCGTTAGACATAATGGGCCTATATCAGTGTAATACGTATAATGATAACGTGTGTCATTGGAACGCATGTGCTGCCGTCAAGCGAACGGTGCTGTTACCCCTGTTCGTCAGGTTCCATACATGTTTTCGGTAAAATATTCTCCTCCCTGTGGAGAATACATCAGCCAGATGCTGACACAGCAACCGACTCTTCTCTCACAGGTGGCAGTGCGCTCTGTGTTCAGGGGAGGGTTACACGTCATGGCGCCACCACTTGGACTCGAACCCGCGATTCCTGGAAATCGCAGTCTTCTTTTTAAAAAAAATGCTGCTTGTTTTTCACACTACTTTACTTAACCTGGGAAATTCAGAATCCCACGCGAGCAGACTATGAGCCCCGTGTTACTTTGGTCTGAGCCCAAACTAGCTCGCCATTATTACACTTATTTCTAGGAAAACAAGTTAATGAATGTGTGACCAGACCAACTGAATCAGCGAGTGTACTTTTGTTGACTAACAATCAGTTGACTAACAATCGACGCAACCTTTTGTAGGCATTAGCAGCTTTAAGTTGGCGGTGAACTGAGCTTCGCGTGCAAACAACTCCACGGATTACCGGTACATAAGTCAACAGAACTTTTAATGTCATAACTGGTATTACTGAGAAAGAAATTAAAAAACAAATCGAAAAAAAGGGCCATTGAAATAAAATGCAAACAAGTGGAAAGCAGTGGTTTCGACTGTCTGCGTTTGGCGCACGTAGTTTCGAACTTACGAGCGCTGCGTAATTGCCTCTGCACTTTTAAGTTGGAGAGGAAAATATAGCTTGTTTTGAAAAGAAGGATAAGGGCTCCTGGGCGAACGGGTGAGTAATTTAGAGTTGCATTCCCCAACAGTTCACTACCCTTCTTCAAACGAATGAAACATCCAGAACTTACGAGGGCGACTTAGGGTTTTCGTGGGGGGAGGGTCGATTCGTGATTGGCGCATGGCTACTCGTTTTTGTGCATTTCTCCCGGTCGGGAAAGTGCACCGAGCGTGCGTGGGCAGGAGTCGCCGTCGAAGGCTGTCACATTTAGGGACACTTCAGATTGCCAATTTCGAGTGGAGGAAAAGTTCGATTTTTAAATTGGAATCGTGGGGCCCAGGGCAGGTAAGTGGGCATGCGCGCGCTCAGGTTGATAATTGAAACGGGAAAGAGCTCATTTCTTACTGTATGAATTTAATGTTGCTTATTGTGCAGGTTTCATAGGCTCTATGTAGTGCAATGCTTTTATACATACATTGCACATTTCAAGTCCCTCACGTTGCTTATTCTCGCATAACGGTGCTTTAAATGATTCGATTTCGACCATTCCGTTGCATTACACCACATTGATTTGATTACCGTGTTTCTGTTCCTCA